GCGCTCTCTCTCTCTCTCTCTCTCTCTCTCTCTCTCTCTGTCTCTCTCTCTCTCTCTCTCTCTCTCTCTCTCTCTCTCTCTCTCTCTCTCTCTCTCTCTCTCTCTCTCTCTAACTCTCTCTCTCTCTCTCTCTCTCTCTCTCTCTCTCTCTCTCTCTCTCTCTCTCCTTGGCTAATTACTTTTTTATTTATTAATTAGTGTTACATTAGATTAATGACAAGTTTGACTAAGCTTATTTTAAACAGTTGATAAGCACTTACGTTTGATAAGATGTTATAATAAGAGCTAATAAGCTATTACAACTTATTTGTACAATTAATTTTTAAAGTGTTTTATAATCTATTTTTACTCATTATAAGATTTTAAATAAAAATGTGGGATAAATTTACTTTAAAAAAAAATCTTATTTTTGTTCTCCAACAGCTTATTTTTAAAAAAAATTAAGATATTTTCTTAGAAATTTACCAAACACTTTGGAACAGCTTATAAGCTCTTAAACATCTTACAAGCTCATTTTAACAACTTACAGCTTAATCAAGCACTCTATAATTAGAGTTTAATTTCCTTTTTTGGTATGTTTATACATTTGATATGCAGGCACACTTGATTATTCGTGCATGCCGGCAGCTCCTCCGGCTCCTGCTGTTCCGCACAATTCGTCCTTCTTCGATCGTAATTTTTCTTATCTTTAACCTTTGTGTTTTTTTTCTTTCTAAATTTTTATTTAGTGAGTTGATTTTACTTATGGAAATTGTGAGAGAAATCCATTACAGTGAAAATACATTACTATAAGGTGATTAAAAAATTAGTACAATTGTGACTCGAGAAATTCTATTAATTTTAGCGAAATATAAAATCGTCGAATCAATAATTTTAGAGAAATTATTATTTAAACGATAAGTTATTAATTTATCGATGTTATAGTGTATAACTAATTAATTTTAGCAATAAGTGAGTTGATTTACACTTCTTCTTCCTCTCTTTTTTTTTTAATAATTATTAATGTGTTATAACTTATATATATTTTTTAATTGTTGAAATAGCTTGCTATTGGATCTACTGTGGAGAAGGAAAATGCACAAAGAATACAACACGTGCACACACGTGCCAATGCAATCCTGGCTACTCCAATCTTCTCAACATAACTGCTTTCCCTTGCTACAATGACTGTAAGAACTTTTTTTTTTTTTTTCACCTATGTATAATTGCTGTATTTTCTATTTATTATTTATAAATTAAAATTAATTATAAAATATTTTATACTGATGAATTTGTACTAATTATTTGTAGGTGCAATCGGGTCGGAGTCGTGTGAGAGGCTCGGAATAAGGAGCGCTAGTTCTACTTCGAACCCTTCTTCTAAAAATAATGACAATAATCAAGGTGAGAATAATTAACTGAAATATTAAATGTCGTTTCAATTTTACTAATATTATTTTGACTTCGAGCGAGATTTTGACACTTTTCTAGTGTTGATTTGGCCGAATTCAATGCACGAAAATTGTAGCCGTTTAAGTTAAGATTATAATACAACTTGAATCAGCTAAATTAGATGTTGGGTGAAAAAGTTATGCATGAATGAGTTACATTTTGAATTTTAGATAACTCTAAATATTAATTTTTGGGCAACGTTCATCTATGCATGCATATCTTTCTCATCCGACATCCGACCTTAGTGATTCAAGTTGTATTAGAAAGGTAACTCGAATATCTACAAATGATGTGCTTTACGTTTTGCCTAATTCGGAATATAAAATGGTCAAAATCTCGGTTGAAGTTCGAACGGTATTATTAAAACTAAAACGACATTTATCATAAGCCCTTAAATATATTAAAAAATAAATGAAATTTAAATATAGATTAAAGAGCATGAAATTAATTAAACTAGACCATTTTTAATTCTGAATTAGATTAAATAAAAATTTAAAATAAAATGCTTGACTAAATTAGATTTACTAAATACTACCAAATAAAATATTGAACTGCAAAATGACTATTCATGTTATATATGCAGCTATAGCATTCTCTATGGGGAAGTTCAACTTGATGACAATATTGCTCGCCACTACTGCTACGATTTTCTTGAAATTATAAGGCTCTTAATTTGTTTTGTTGGTGTATCTATTATTTGGCTTTTACATTTTTGCCCCTACCACGATTTTTAATTTTTCTAGTTTTTTATTGGTTGTAAAACTTTGATGTTTTATAAATAAATAATACGAACATATATAGGAAGCTCGTTGTTGTATACAAAATAAATGAAACATTGTTTCATCTTTTACGTTGAGTTTGTATTTTAATTTTTCATATATAACCAAAAAAATATGCACAACATCAATTCAATTGGAATGTAATATATATATATATATATAGGCAATTTATCGATGAATTTGGAGCGACGGATATTTTTTTCGATTCCCAATATCGAAACAAAGTTTAAATATGTACTGTATGGGCTTAGCTGCGTGAATTTATTCAAAATAAGTTATACTAGGCTCGCGTGAAAAGCTCCCTCGAACACAAACGTAATATAAAGTGTTAATCGTTGCAATGCAAAACAACTAATATGTATACTGTATAGGGGTAGAGGATGTTTGTGTGAACTTAAACATAAGTACACCATTATATGTTGAGAAGTTTTTCCACTGAATGCTACTGTCACTTTTTGTTGAAGGGCACTCTTGGTATTTCTTTATCTCTCTTCAAATTTGGTGGTGAAATGAGGTGAATTGTGGTGTGAAGGACGAAACTGAAGCTAAATAAAACCCCAGGGACTAATTTGAAGTTGAGTGCCAAGGATGAAAATAAATTTTACCCTTGTTAATTTTATTAAATAAAAGGTTTTAGATACAAATTACATATAGGGGTCTTAAGATATAAGTCCCTGGTGACAAAACTTATTAGAACTAAATGACAAGTATAACTAAACATTTGTTTCACATTCTTTATAAAATTCATTCCAAAATTGCCCTTTATACACAAAAAAAACGACAGTTGCACCAAGTAATATTAAAATAATATTTATCATTTTTTTATTTTGTATTTAATATTTTCAATTTTACATCTACCAACTTATTACTCTTTTTTTACGTAGTACACTTTTTATTTTTCCATTGTTCATATTTGTTCACTATTATAAAAACCTTATTTTTTCTGAAAAATATTGAAAATTATGAAAATATTTTTTTAATATTTTTCGACTGTAGTATCTATAGATACCCATAGAAATCCGTAGAAGTCCGTACTCATAGAAACCCATAGTAGTCTGTATTCATCCATAGTTATTCGCAGTTACACACTTTGAAAACCCTAGCCCCTATTTGAACCATAGCCGCCACCGCACAGAAACTCGTAGTAGTCTATAGTAACTCATAGTCATCTCAATGTTAAACCCTAGGTTTGCTGCCACCGTCGCCAACACCACAACCACCGCCTCCGTTATTGCCATAACCACCCCTACCATAACCCACAACCACTCATATATTTGGACTCATCTCTTCCCAAACACGATGTGCTTCCGCTACGCACTCCATCGCCGCTTCAGATCCACCACCGCCACCATAGATCCGACGTGCTACCGCTACCCACTCGTCGCCGCTTTCAGATCCACCGTCTCCATAGATTCACCGCAGCCGCCACCTTAAGATTCACTGCCGCCCACTCCGCCGCCGCCTTCTCATCCGCCGCCGCCGCCCCTGTTTGCTTCTCCAAGCATACGGCAGAACTGATTTGTGAGCCCAAATAAAAAACTAGTTCAGAGGAACATGGAGATCGGGAGAGAAAGCGATAGAGAGAGGAGGAGAAAAAAGAGAAAAAAAACAGAGAGAAATAAAGAGGCAGGGAGAGAAAAAGAGAGAAAAAACAGAGAGAAAGAGGCGAGAGAGGGAGGGGGTAGAGAGAAAGAAAACGTAAAGAACAAATAGAATTAAATTTATTAAAAAACTGCGTGAATATGTAGAATAAAAAAAGGGGTCTTAAGATATAGGTCCCTAGTGACAAAACTAATTAGAACTAAATGACAAGCTCAACTAAACATTTGCTTCACATCCTTTATTAAATTCATTCCAAAAATGCCCTTTCACTCATGTTTATTTTTTCAATTTTAACTATGCATTTTTTACATTATTATAAATAATTTTTTTCCTTATTTATAACATTTTTTTTGAAAATTACGAAATTTTTTTCTTCTTTTTGTTAAATAATTCAGCAGATTTTAAAAATACTATAGTATACTATGGTGTACTATGTTGTTCTATGGTGTACTATCATTTTTACACTATTATCAAAAAAAAAAAAATTCTACAGTATTATTAAAAATTACAAAACTAAACTTGTTTTTCGTTTTTGTTAATTCAATATATATATATATATATATATATATATATAATATTTTATTTATTGTAATACTATAGTAGACTATGGTACGGTATACTACGGTATTCTATGGTCTACTACGGTATACAATCAAACCCTAGCAGCCAACAACACACAACCCTAGCCGTCAACGCAGCAACCTTCAAACCCAAGCGGCCAAGATCTGCAGCCGTCGCTCCCGTAGTCATCTACCAACTGTTGTAGAACCTAGATTTACGATTTTGAACCCAAATCAACCAAAATCTCTTGAAGATCAAGATCAAATCTCCTCCATAACCATATCTCCGCCGCCACAATCACCACAACCCCTCGCCGCCATCTCGACCACCACAGCCTACCGCCTTGACCACCACAGCCCGCTGCCGCCGCCTCAACCACCACAGCCCCCGCCATCACCTCGACCACCACAACCGCTCGCCGCCATCTCGACCACCACAGCCCGCCGCCTTGACCACCACAACTCGCCGCCCCGACTCAACCACAACTTCTATACTTCTGCTCTTTAGATCCTCTGATCTCGTATCTTTAATCCTTCTTTAATTTTTGCAATTTCACACGTTTGCTAGTTTTCTCAAAAGATTTATTTTCCGTCTTTGAGAGAGTGTGTGTTACGGTTGAGAGAAAAGGAGTGGGTGGGCGGCGGAGAAATTAGGGTGAGGAGAAAAAGATACATGTGATTTTTTATTAATTATATTAAGGGTATTTTCGGGTTAAATTAAAATCAAAGAATGTGGTTCAAATTTTATTTAAAAATAAGAATTTAATTAAACTATTCTGTTTGAGGTTGTCCCCCATATCTAATTAGGTTTGATTTAAGGGGTGTCTAACATATTACCCCTTAAAAAATTAGGTTATAAGGGCAGTTTAGGGATAAAAAAATAATTAAGGATGTATATCGTATATTGTTTCAAATTAAGGATTTAATTAAAAAAATTGGATTTGAACTTGTCATTTAGTTCAAATTAAGTTTCATTTGAGGGGCTCCTAGCATATTACCCCTTACATATAATACCATAATTTATTACACACCAAATATCATACTAACTAAGTAAGGAATTAATCCAATCCCATCTAATCTAAACTTATTCGATATAGGTAATGAGTCCTAAATCTATAATTTTCTGCCACTTTCGGTTTTCAAAAGTTGATGAGAAAAATGCATATTTTAAGGGCAAATTACTCTAATCCCCTGAGATAAGATTAAATTACGAAAAAACCATATTTTTTGAAACGGTAAATCTTGTTGGCCAGATTCTGGCCAACCAGAATAAATCAATTTACTGATATACCCTTAAATTATACTAAATTATAATTTATTTATTTTCTCTCTATCTAGTATAATCCATGCATATTTGCCGTAACTTAGGCAATAAATTGTGTTTGGAGAACAGAGGAGCCACCCAACCCTAAGCTCTTTCTCCTTCTCGACTTTTAATGGAATTCTCTATAATAATAATGATAATGATAATAATAATAATAATAATAATAATAATAATAATAATAATAATAATAATAATAATAATAATAATAACAATGGCGATTTCCGACGTCTTCTTTGTTCATCGAGTTTGCTCGTTTTCTGGCCACTATGGCCGCCAATCCGGTGGTACCGCCGCCGGCACTTCAACCACCACACCAGCAACTACCTTTGTCTCATGGGGAAGGTTCTTCTAGACCTTCTTTTGTGTCGATGGTAGGAGCCAAAGTGTCTACCAAGCCTCGACTACAACCCGTTCCTTTGGCGTCTCGCGCCCCTGTTTCTATAGGTAATGCTCCAGCAGTTTTGTTCTCTCCGGTGGAGGTTGACCAACTGAATAAACAAGTCGCCAATACGATTATCATGAAATTTTCTGTTGGTCGACCTAGTTTACTAGAAATTCGTTCTCATATTTTGTCGGAGTGGAAACTTGAACATGAACCAGCCATTGGTTTGCTTGATCCACGACACATTACGATTCATATGGGTTCCATATCTGATGCTAAATTAGCCCTCGCTCGTCACAGCAAAATGATCAAGAATTGCATGTTTCGTCTATTCCGTTGGACACCTGATTTTCAAATTGGTAAGGACAGTTGTATTGCTCCGGTTTGGGTTCGCTTTCCAAAGCTTCCGATTCAATATTTCAATATCTCATCATTGGAAAGGATTGAGGCGTGTCTCGGTACTGTACTGAGTGCTGATGAACGCACTCTTGGTTTCACACATCAAATGTACGCGAGGGTCTGCATAGAGATCGATGTGTCTCAACCATTCCCACAAGAAATATGGATCGGCATTTCAAAGGATCAAGGTTGGTGGCAGAAGGTAGAGTATGAAGGCAATATAGCGTATTGCTCTTATTGTGGATTACTGGGGCATACGGCAGGATGTTGTCGCAAGAATATTCGTGTAACAAAACTTCAAAGTGTGCCAAAACCTAAAACAAAAATGGAGTATGCTCCGAAGAAGCTGGTGATACCGTTGGGAGAAAATAAGGAGCTTTTGGCTTCGGAAAAGGTAGTTGGGACATCTGGTGAGGCTTCCGACACGAATAATGCTGACAAGATTTCGAACAAGTTTAATTCTCCTGTGCAGATTTTAAAACGCTCAGATGTTGACCCTTCGAGATTGGCTGATATGAAGGAAGTTCTAAAGGGCACGGGTCTGCTTAGTGACGAGGAGACGGAAACCCCAAAATCTATGTCGAGTTCACACGGCAACCGTTTTGCTCTTCTTTCTGTGGAGAATTTCGGTAATGGGGAACAACAAGTGGCAAAACATGTTACACAAATTCATGTTGACGCACAACAGATTTTCTCTAACAGTGAAAAATTGTCTAGTCCATCTCGTCTAGACTTGGGATATCAATTGGCAGGCACTGAGGAAAATCAAATCACGGAAAACCATTCCCTGGGTACGGTAGTTGATGTTCAAACGGCTGGACGTGTTGAGGAGATTAATGTTGTGCTTCCTAATTTGTCGACGGGTTCTCTAGCAGCTAAACGACTGGATGTGGGTTATCAATCAGATACGGGGGAGATTAAGAATAAGGGTACACTGTGTGTTTTCTCTGATAATGAGAATGATAAGGTGGAAAATGCGCACGTTATGCAAGTTGTCGAAAAACGAAAACCAGGTAGACCTCGAAAGGTCCAGATTACAGATCTCTCCTCTACATTACCTTAATGTCTGTGCTTTTTTGGAATATTCAAGGGATCGGGAAACCGGAATCTTTGGCGTATTTTTCACAATGGATTCGGGAGCATAAACCAGGTGTTATAGGGATTAGTGAACCGAAGCAAATTAACGATAAAATTGGTGGCTATGCTCGTAAACTTGGGTATCCAAATTACCATGCAGGTGATAAAATTTGGATTTTTTGGTCTACAGATTTTGCAGTTAACATATTTTCAGTTACGGATCAGGCCATTACCATGATGGCTCACGGCTTGATTTCTTCTACATGGATTACCTTTGTTTACGCCAGTTGTAATAGAGATGAGCGACGTCAATTATGGGATACTATTCTTTCGCTGAGTGACGTGTGCACTGGATCATGGATTGTTGGAGGCGATTTTAATATTATTCTTCATCTTGATGAGAAAAAGGGAGGTAATGCAGCGGATCTGAGGGGTATTCAGGATTTTCGCGAGTGTATTATTCAAGCCGGTCTTTCCGACATTGGTTTTGTGGGAAATCGATATACCTGGAGTAACAATCAAAGAGGTAGTCGAAGAATATGGGAGCGGCTGGATAGGATTCTCATTAATGGTGAGGCACATGTTTCGTTGCCTTCGATTGAGGTTCATCATCCAGCGCGGGTGGGTTCGGATCATGCTCCATTGCTGATGGTTACGGGACAACAATTGAAACATAAGAGTCGATTTATGTTCCAACGTATGTGGCTTGACCACCCATCCTTTTTGAGTTTTATCTCTCAACATTGGATTTCTTGTGGTACAGGTAACTTGGGTTATCAGTTGCAACGTCGTCTTTCTTCGCTCCGTAAGAAGATCAAACAATGGAATTGGGAGGTTTTTGGCCATCTCTCTGTTACTATTCATACTCTTCAACTGCAGATTGCCGATATGGAGAAGTCGTTACAAATTGGTTGGTCTGAGCAATTGGAGAATAGTTTGGCTGATCGTTGGAATCAATTATCTCAACAGGTGGCATGGAATAATGAGCTGCTGCAACAAAAAACTCGAGTTAAGTGGATTGAAGAGGGGGATCGCAACTCAGCATTTTTTCACTCCACTATCAAGGACCGTCGACGTAAAAACCGTGTGGTTCTTACTAACGAGGATGGGTCTATGGAAACCAATTCTAAAATAATTGGGGATAGAGCGGCTGCTCATTTTGCTGCGCTATTTTCAGCATCGACTTATTATATTAATGATGAGCTATTTCAGGATTACCCTCGTACGATTACGGCAGAAATAAATTCAATTCTGACATCTATTCCTACCGAAGAGGAAATTTGGGCAGCGGTTCAGCAGCTTAATCCGGATAGTGCGCCTGGTCTTGATGGATTTTCGGGTCATTTTTACGTAGGATGTTGGTCGATTGTGAAGCATGAAGTGATTTCGTTTATTCAAGGTTTTTTCATGGGAGATCAGTTGAGCCGCTCAGTTACTATGACCTCTCTGATTCTTTTACCGAAGGTGGAGTCGCCCAAAGGTTTTGGTGATTTTCGTCCGATTAGTTTGTCTAATTTTACTAGCAAGCTGATATCCAAAATTCTTGCTAACAGATTATCTCAATTTCTTCATTTAGTTATTAATGAGGAACAAGCCGGTTTTATTAAGGGTCGGAGCATACATGAGAGTATTATTCTAGCACAGGAATTGGTGGAAGATTTTGATCGACGAACTCCTGGAGGTAATCTTATTTTTAAAGTCGGTATGTCTAAAGCTTATGATCGCTTGGAGTGGCGCTTTCTTATTCGAGCTATGCGTAATATGGGTTTCAATGAGCAGTTCATTGACCTCATTTATCGTAATATCTCGAATATATGGTATTCAGTTTCAATAAATGGAGATAATTATGGTTACTTTAAGTCTTCTCGAGGGGTTCGGCAGGGGGATCCTTTATCTCCTATGCTTTTCATTCTCGCCCAACAAATTTTATCTCATAATCTGAATAAATGGCAAAGAAACGGCACCATATTTCCTTATAAGGTAGGTCGTGGTGGGCTCAGCGTATCTCATCTTTTTTATGCTGACGACATGCTCTTATTTACCAATGGATTTAAACGATCGCTGCACCATTTCATGAAGCTGCTGAAGGAGTATGCCAAATCTTCTGGGCAAGAAATTAACTTTCAAAAGAGTGGCGTGTATACTCCTAAACGGATGTCACAGGAACGTGCGCACTTGGTATCGGTTTGGACGGGTTGTACTGTGAAGAAATTACCGCTGCAATACTTGGGAGCTCTGATAGTTAAAGGTCATATTCGCGCTTCGTATTTTGATTTATTACTTCATCAAATTGCTGTCAAACTAGATAGATGGAAAGCTAAATTGTTATCATTTGCTGGTAAAATTACCTTGCTCAAATCCTTTTTATGCAGTATGCCCATACATACATTATCTAGTGTGGTTGTTCCGAAGATGGTGATTTAAAAGATTGAGCGTTTGATGAAGA